AAAAAAAAAAAAAAAAATCTTTGCAGCCTAAGCCTTCGAAGAATTTGAACGGCCAAGATTGCGAGATATGTGGCGACGAGATCGGGCTAACGGTCGACGGCGAACTCTTTGTTGCTTGCAACGAATGCGGTTTTCCCGTTTGTCGGCCGTGCTACGAGTACGAAAGAAGGGAAGGTAGCCAGCTGTGCCCTCAATGCAAGACGAGGTACAAGCGCCTTAAAGGTACGTTATTTCGAATTTTCGACTCAAGATTGTCGAAATAATACAAAAATGGTGTGAAAGTCTATAGAAATTTCTAACGAATCAGATTTTATCGAATTTTCATGTTAAATGAAGGGAGCCCGAGAGTTGAGGGAGATGATGACGAGGAGGACATTGATGACATCGAACACGAATTCAACATCGACGAGCGAAAAACAAACACGGATATTGCTGAGGCAATGCTTCATGGGAAGATGAGTTACGGGCGAGGGCCGGAAGACGAGCACAACGCTCAATACCCGCCGGTTATAGCCGGCGGTAGATCTCGTCCGGTGAGAACTAACTAAACGAAACACCACTTTTTATCTAATGTAATAATAAGGTCTTTTACTATGTAAAGATTATGAAAGAGTAGTATTTTTCTAAATTTGTTGGATATAAAATTTAAAAAACAGGTAAGTGGAGAAATCCCGATCTCGAATTATCCATACGGAGATCAAGCGGCCGGAGCCTCTCTGCATAAAAGGGTTCATCCGTATCCAGCCGGAGATGATCCCGGTAATTAGTTACATAAGAAAACAAAGCAACTAACAACTTACTCATCGAAGATTCTATCGGAAATCGATAATTTTGTAGCTTCTATTGGCAAAAGTGAACTTTTTTTTTTCTACATCGATAGCTTCCTACGAAAAAAACAGAAACTTTCAGCAAACATAGTAATGAAAGGCTATGAATAGAAACTATAGAAGCATGTGGCGAGTTTTTAGCTATCGATGATGATTCGTATATTTTACCCAGGAAAAGGACGATCGGATGAGAAGGAGATGGGATGGAAAGATAGGATGGACGACTGGAAATTGCAGCAGGGGAACTTGGGACCTGAACATGATGATCTAGCAGATCCTGACATGGCCATGTAATTCTTTCTTTTTATTTTTCCATTCATTTATGGTTTCGAATATGCTCATTTATTGAGAAGCTATCTATATGTGAAAAAAAAAATAAAAAAAAAATGCAGTGCAGACATGGCAAGACAGCCATTATCGAGAAAAGTACCGATAGCATCAAGCAAAATAAATCCTTACCGGATGGTGATCGTGGCCCGTCTTGTGATCTTGGCCTTCTTCCTCCGCTACCGGATCTTGAACCCGGTCCATGATGCCATTGGCCTCTGGCTAACCTCAATCATATGCGAAATCTGGTTCGCCATCTCCTGGATTCTCGATCAGTTTCCCAAATGGTTCCCCATTGACCGTGAAACCTATCTCGATCGCCTTTCCCTCAGGTTAAAAAATAAATAAAAAATAGTGAATTCAAGAACTATTAAATTTCATAACAAGGAAAAAATGCATTTTTAGTGTCGTTGGTTTAACGCCATAGCAATTTTAGTCCAAACATCCCAACTTTTTCGCCTTTTGGTCCTTTGAGGACTGAAAGTGCAAAAAAAAATTTAAATTATAGGACTTAAATTGCTAATAAAAAATCTATAAATTTGGGAATCTGTTGCAATTTCAGTCCACAAAGGACTGAAATCGTAGCAAAATATTAAATCAGAGGATCGAAAGGCGAAATGTTAGAACCTTAAAGACTAAAACTGCTATGTCGTTAAACGAGCAGGACTAAAAATGGAATTTAGCCTCATAACAATTCCATTTTAGAGTTAAACTTCTTCATTTTATTATATTTTTTTTTTTTTGGATGAAGGTATGAAAGGGAAGGGGAGCCGAACATGCTGGCGCCGGTGGACATATTCGTGAGCACGGTGGACCCCATGAAAGAGCCGCCACTTGTCACGGCCAACACAGTCCTCTCGATACTCGGGATGGATTACCCGGTCGATAAAATCTCGTGCTACATATCCGACGATGGGGCTTCCATGTGCACGTTCGAGGCCCTGTCCGAAACGGCCGAGTTCGCCCGCAAGTGGGTCCCCTNGAATAAATGCAATGGTGGCAAAGGCATCGAAAGTACCTCCTGGTGGATGGATTATGCAAGACGGGACTCCATGGCCCGGTAACAACACGAGAGATCATCCAGGGATGATTCAAGTTTTCTTGGGCCAGAATGGAGGCCTTGATGTTGAAGGACACGAGCTCCCGAGGCTCGTCTATGTTTCGCGTGAGAAGAGGCCGGGATTTCAGCATCACAAGAAAGCAGGCGCCATGAATGCTCTGGTAAAAAAAAAAGAAAATTTTCATTTGCTGTTAGTAGCATTGAAAGAGAAAAAAAAAATAGAAAATTAACGAATAGAAACATAATCTTTCTTTTTTTTTTTCAGGTTCGTGTTTCGGGTGTTCTTACGAATGCACCTTTCATGCTGAACTTGGACTGTGATCACTACATTAACAACAGCAAGGCCGTGAGGGAAGCCATGTGTTTCTTGATGGACCCACAAGTCGGGAAGAAGGTCTGTTACGTGCAGTTCCCACAGAGATTTGACGGCATTGATAGACACGATAGATACGCCAACAGGAACACCGTTTTTTTCGATGTAAGTCCCCTTTAAAAACATGGCACCGATACATCTATCATGATAAAGGAAAAAAAAATCTTCATCTGTATGCAACTATTTACTATTTTTTTTTTTTTTCTTTTCTCTTCTTTCTGCAGATAAACATGAAAGGTCTAGATGGGATTCAAGGCCCGGTTTATGTGGGGACGGGATGTGTTTTCAGAAGACAGGCTTTGTATGGCTACGAACCTCCAAAGGGGCGTAAGCGTCCAAAGATGGTAAGCTGTGATTGCTGCCCTTGCTTTGGACGTCGCAAGAAGCTCCCGAAATACTCGAAAGACGGCACAAACGCCGAAACTGATCTTCAAGGTTCAATTTTTTTCAAAACATTTCAATCATCAATGTTTTCTTAACCGCCTCCATTAAAGTCAATGAAAACACATCAACACACGTACGCAGGATTCGAAGACGACAAGGAGCTTCTCAAGTCCCAGATGAACTTCGAAAAGAAATTCGGACAGTCCCCAATATTCGTGACCTCAACTCTCATGGTCGAAGGTGGGGTCCCGCCATCTTCAAGCCCGGCAGCTCTTCTTAAGGAAGCCATTCACGTCATAAGCTGCGGGTATGAAGACAAAACAGAATGGGGTACAGAGGTATATAAATATTACAGTTGACACATTTTCTTATTTCTTTATGTTCTAAAAAAAAAAACATTCTTGATTTTTTACCTGCTGTGAAAAACATACACGGTGTGCAGTTGGGCTGGATTTACGGGTCGATCACGGAGGATATCTTAACGGGCTTCAAGATGCACTGCCGAGGATGGAGGTCCATTTATTGCATGCCCAAGAGGCCCGCGTTCAAGGGCTCGGCCCCCATCAATCTCTCTGACCGGCTCAACCAGGTTCTTCGGTGGGCCCTGGGCTCTGTCGAGATCTTTTTCAGCCACCACAGCCCAATGTGGTACGGTTACAAGGATGGGAAGCTGAAGTGGCTCGAAAGGTTCGCCTACATCAACACAACTGTATACCCTTTCACGTCACTACCACTTCTCGCATATTGCACTCTACCCGCTGTCTGCTTGCTCACCGGCAAGTTCATAATGCCCGAGGTGAAGAAATACGCAAACCTTTGTT